AAAAAAAAAAAAAAAAAAAAAAAAAAAAAAAAAAAAAAAGGTCAGGGTAGAGGGTGAGGGGTGGAGGATTTCACAACATGGATCTTGGAGAAACCCCAGAGCTAACTGACACCACACCAGAGGAATTAACGGGAGCTGACTCAGCGGGGATGAGAGCTTCCGAACCGGCACCAGACAATGAAGCAGTGCTAGGAGAACACGCGGACAGGAGACAGGCACTCCTGCAGAAGGGTTCCCACCATTCACACCTGCTTTGACTTTTTATGACGTGGACCTGTCTATGACACGGGCACTGAGACTGAGGCGAGAAAGCGGGATTGGCATCGTATAGAAATATTTTTAGAGAAATGAAAAAGCAAGAAAGTCAGATGGAATTACAATGTGTTTCTACAAAGTTCCACCAGGAATGCCTGCCTCTCCTGCCCTCCCTTCTACCTCCTCCACCTTTGCCACCGCAGAGACAGCCCCTCCTCTACCTCTTCCTCCTCAACCTCTTCAATGTGAAGATGATGAAGATGAAGAGCTACAAGACGATCCACTTCCACTTAATGAACAGTAAACATAATTTCTCTTTTTTTGATTTCTGTTTTTTAGACAGGGTCTCACTTTGTCATCTAGGCTAGAGTGCCATGGCACTATCTTGGCTCACTGAAGCCTCAACCTCCCAGATTCAAGTGATCCTCCTGCCTCAACCTCCTAAGTAGCTGGGACTACAGGCGTGAGCCACCACACCTGGCTAATTTTTTGTATTTTTTGTAGAGAAGGGGTTTGGTGACGTTGCCTAGGCTGGTCTTGAACTCCTGAACTGAAGCAATCTGCCTACGTTGGCCTTCCAAAGTACTAGAATTATAGGTGTGAGCCACCGTACCCAACCTACTTCTACTTTCTTATGACTTTCTTTTCTTTCTTTCTTTTTTTTTTTTTTTTTTTGAGACAGAGTCTCAAAAACCTCCACCTTCCAGGTTCAAGTGATTCTCCTGCCTCAGTCTCCCAAGTAGCTGGGATTACAGGCATGCACCACCATGCCTGACTCATTTTGTATTTTCAGTAGAGATGGGGTTTTACCATGTTGGCCAGGCTTGGCCAGGCTGGTCTCAAACGCCTGATCTCAAGTGATCTTCCTGCCTCAACCTCCCAAAGTGTTGGGATTACAGGCATGAACCACTTAGCCTGGTCTTTTATGATTTTCTTGTTTTTTTTTTTTTT